TTTTTAACTCAATGAAGTAGCCTTCCTAAACCTGGACCTGAGGCCGGCTGAAGAGAGCTGGTTGTGTATCACGACACAATATCTCTAGATATGCAAGTAGATCTGACAGCTTGTGTCACTGATTGAATTCTGTCCTTCAAAAGCACATGTCAGTTTGGTTAAACTTTCATCACACCTTTATTCCTTGCTTGAGTCACATTTTTTTTTTAATCCCACAAAAGATGAAAGGAGAAAGATGCTAGCACAGATGGGGAAAGAAAAACAGCAGGCCACACGAAGATGGCCCAGGAGCTAACGCTCAGAAGAAACAAGGACCTTTCTCCAGACCCGATAGGGAGCGAAGCCCTAAGTCAGATTTTTAGTCTTCCAAGGGCAGCGAGTGTGCTCTTTAGAGGCAGAGATGACAAAACCTCATCTCTCATACATTAGATATACTACTAAGAGAGGCTCTTCCTTAGTGAAGGACATCACGCTTGCAAAGGCAGAGGGCCAGTGAAAGAGAGGAAGACCCCCAACAAGATGGACTGACAGAGTGGCTGTAAGAATGCGTTCAAGTGTGTCAGAGACGATGAAAATGACGCAGGATAGGACAGAGCTCAGATATGTTGTGTAGAGTCACTGTGAGTCATACACAACCCCACCTGACAACAACAAGAAGACGGAAAAAATCAATTTGGTGTTTTAAACAGCCTTCCACTTGGTGTTCTGTGATAATATCACTAGATAATATCCTCATTGTATGCTTTAAAAAAAAAAACACCTAGATCCCCCTCCCCAATTGTGTTTGCCAGTACTGATATCATCCGATATATGATGAGACCTTCGATAATATAACTCAATGGACACCGACTGCCAAAACCATTTGTGGAATCTGTCTGTTTGGACAACAGTTCAGTCATGTTAAATTCTCCACCCTCAGTTACTGATGCTCCTTTTGTGTTTTTTTCAGGTCCCTCTCAGAGGACCATGACATTTTCTGGGTGGGTAGTGTCTCATTTTTCGGGATGTGCAGCACTTTTAATTTGATTCTGAGTTACAGCTATCCTCTTTCCCCCCATTCTTTGAGATTTTTCCAATTCTTTTTAAAGTAGCCACCATGGGGCTTGATTTATGTAGGAAGTTTTGCACAAATGAATCTGATCCAAGAACAGGAACTAGCAGCCACATTTCCTCATGTGACAGGACCATGGCTCCAGAGTTCCTACCAGGTCAGGAGGGTCCCTGAGGAGGAGCAGAACCCAAGCGAGCATGATGATCAGTACTTTCCATATCTGCCGTATCTCTGCCGCTACTGAGCAGCTTTGTTGTCATGGGAAAAACTTGGAGGAATCTTTATTTAGCTTTTGAGCTTGGCCCCCTCTGTATTTAATGACAATTGCAAACGCTTTATAAAGTTCACATCCTGTTAATATCAGCTACCACTGAGATGGTTCTGAATGGCCTCTTGAAGAGTCTTGTGTAATTCTCAGAGATAGGCATAAATCACCTATGGGGAAAGATAAATATTTCCCCCCTCTTAGTTTTATGGGTACGATAACTCAGTGAAATGTGTCCTGCCCCAAATTGCCAACATATTCTGAATTAACGAAGGGAAAGGTACAGACAGGAGTCACTGGTAGATAATACTTGTGTTTCCTGGTTTTTGAAAGAGTATTCTAGCATCACTGGTTGGTGCTAGTAAAAATGTTTGCCATTCTTCTTTTCATGCATAATAGACTGACAATACTGTGTTCTGAGTACTGCTGCAGAACGTGAAAAGACTAAGGGCAGACTCCCCTGGGGTGAAGAGCCAGGATTAGAGTTGAAGAGCAGAGACAGTGAGGAAGCGAGTTCCTAGGCACAGAGTGCTGGATCCCAGGGATGCCAGCATCAGGGGAGAGCACCATCAGCCCCAGGTCCCCATTTCAGGCAAATCTGACCATCCTGCCCTGAAAGGAATCTCTTAGCTGAGACTGATCAGCTTCCTCTGATTTATTCTAGTGAATGTATTTATATTCACAGCACACTCCCATGAGCATTTCTGTGAGGGGCTGCATAGATTGTCCTGTGTATGATGCCAGATAGGTTTCAGCAGAGCTTCCAGACTAAGATGGACTAGAAAGAAAGCTCTAGCAAGGACCTTCTGAAAGTCATCAGTGGAAGTCCTGCAGCTCACACTGGGTGAATCTGTAACTCATCATGGGACAGTTTAGGATCATGCAGTATTTTGTTCTGTTGTGGGAAGGACTGCCATGGGTCAGGCTAATTAAAATAATAGGTTCTCATGGAGATGTTGAAGAGTCTTAGTCCACTGGGAAACTCGTGTGGAAAGTATTGCTTTTCTCTCTCTGCTGGAGCCGATAACATGGGTTACTCATAACCCACATTCTTGTGAGAGAGTGATGAAGTCATTTTGAGGAATAAGGTGCATCTGATTCAGGCCATAGTCTTTCCTATTACTTCCTATGCATCTGAGGGCTGGACAGTGAATAAGGATGACAGAAAAAGAATTGACGCCTTTGAACTGTGGTGTTGGAGAAGAGCATTGATCATCCCATGGACGGCCAAGAGAACAAACAGATAGGTCTTGGAGAGGGTGTAGCCAGAGTGCTCTTTGGAGGCAAGAATGATGAGGCTTTGCCTCACATACTTAGGGCATGTTGCTTAGGACGGGCTATTCCTTGGTGGAGGACATCGATACTGGGAAGGGTAGAGGGTCAGCAAAGGACAGGAAAACCCCTGACAAGGTGGATTGACATGGTGACTGCCACAGTGAACTCTTGTGTGTCAGGAAGTATGAGGATGGTGCAGGATAGAACAACGTTCACATCTTCTGTTCATAGGGTCGCTATAAGTCGTATTCAACTTGATGCACCTAAAAACAACAACACATTCTTATCACTCCAGAGGCTGGGCCTGCCCTGAGCCCAGGTATAGGCAGACTCAGATCACAGCCAGCTTTGAAGGGAAGCCACTTTACCTTGCTGGGATTGGTACTGTCCTGCCTTTAGGTCACTTCCACTTCCTCTCTCCCACTAGGGATGTTTGGGGCATATTCCTAATGAGTTGCACTGCTAAGCCAAAGGTGGTGAGTCAGAAAAGGCTTGATGACACTGAGCTTGAGTTTGTCTCTCCATTGCAGAAATAAAAGTGAAGGGGGATTATATGTTTTTAATTTATTTGTGATGACATCATTCTTGAGCGTATTGCTAAGGAGTTACACTGCCATCCCAAAGGCAAGCAGTTTGAATCCATCAACTTCTCTGAGGGAGAAAGAGGGGCAGTCTCTCCTGCAATTTACAGTCCCTGAAAATCCAGTGGAGGTTCAACTCTGAGGTTGACTCTGACTTAACAACACAGAGGAACAATAATAAGAGAATTACTTACAGTACCATCTCATCTCAAGAATTTCCTCCACAGAACGATATAACTAAATATATAACTACATATATAACTGTGTATATATAACACTATTATATATAAAACACTGCATATATATAGCACTATATATATAAAAAACTATATATATATAAAAAACACCATATATATACACACACACATAGTTATACATATACACACACATACACACACAGGGGGAGGGGAAACAGTTCCTCTTGGCTTATTGAAAGTGGCTATTTTGGTACTAAAGATATTCAAACTGCCACCGTTATCTTCTGCCATCACCATCATTTCATAAAGAGAGGACATTGCTATAGCAGCAGCCACAAATAGAGAGGACATAATCACAGAATAAAGTGGTAGTTCTTTATGTCTCTGGAAAAAACAGGTCAGACTGGAGATGTGAGCTTTATGGAGAAAGGTAATAAATTGCTTCTATCGCCCTCATTTCACCATAAACCAATAAAAACTTCATAAAAGCAATTGTGTGAGGATAGGCCTTCAAGAGCTGCTTCCCCAGGCCCTTTGGTTTGTTTTCGCTGGCCTAAGGATGGACTGGGACATTTTCTTTCAAGCAACTCTGAGTCAATTGTCTGTGAGTGTCCCTGTCATTACACAGAAGGGTGGGGAGTATCAGTCTGCACCCTCCCTGTGAAGGGGACCTGCTGGAGGAATGGTGAGTGTGGTTATCTCCAGTGCAAGCCTTTCCTGCTGACCCTTGACTCTCAAGCATCAAAGCTTATGCCTCACAGTAAATGAAATGGGAAGTCTTACCACTGATTTCATTCCTTCTGAGAACAAATATGTCAGGATGGACATGGCCATGTAACAGCAGCAGCGCACGATCCACAGAGTGCAGCCTGGCTCTCACTACCCTGTGGAGAGAGGTGCTGGGAGGGGAGGGGAGGCAGCGGTGTTTGCCGATACCCTGAACCCAGAGGCGGCTTTCCATTTGTCAGTAGTCTTGACACTTGATTTCCACGGCAGAAAAGCCTTCTGATTTATCATCAGACTCCAGCCGAACCATTCATTCCCAGATCCTTTAAAATGATCTTGTGAATTACAGCCCAGGACGGGGCAAGCAGGCTGGCTCCCGTGAAGCAGCAGCATCTGGGGGGCAACAGCCAGTGTTTCAGGAAAGATCTGTGCATCCTTTAGTGGCACGGAGGGGAAGTATAGATTGAACACTTTTCATAACTAGCAACTGTAATTATCAGGAACATGTGAGGCAGTGTGATTTCTGACACAGCTGCGCGAAGCCATTTTTACACTACAGAGTCCTCTGAGGCAAAGAAAAGAGATAATTTCATCCTTTCAATAACTACAGTTTTGTATTGGTAAATCAAGCATAAAATTGGCAGTTGAAATCCTTTCAGGAGCCTTTGTTTAGAAATACCTTTATTCACCTATGTATTATCTTGGAGTCTAGCTTTGCTAACTACTATCATTCTGTCAGATAAGGTGTTGTGCTTGCCACGTTACTATTACTGTCTCCGGAACATACTGTTACCTAATGTTTGTTGAGGGTGTTTAGAAATAGTGGGGCCAGGGTCAGGTGACACTGTTTGAGATACTAGCTTTCCTCTAAAGTAATCCTCACAGTGTCTGTCTTTCTCCTTCAGGCATCATATCGACGTTTCTTCATGTTCATCCCTTTGGAGCCAACATTGAGTATCTGTGGTCGTACATGCAGCAGCTGGACTCCAAGGTAAATCTCTTTTCTCCCTCCGGCTCCACTAGCTGGAATTTAGCTTGTGGTGATTGCTGGCTGCAGGTGGGCTCAGCGGGGGCCACGTTGGGGATGTGATGGAGGGGGATCAGTCCTTCTCCTCGGAGGACCTCCGTTTAGGCCAGATGGTTGTCTTCTCTCTACTCATTTTGGCCTTTAAAGAGCGAGCAGGCATTATCTCCCGGCAGTACTTTTCCAGAGATACCACATACGTTTGACTGGTATGTGAAAGTGTACATGAGAGTCCTTGTGAATGTATATGAGTGTAGAGGGTTTGAGCTGTGTGACTGTGTGCAGAGTATGTGTCAGAGTGCCAGGTTTGTGAATGTGGAGGATTGCAGTATATGAGTGTGTGTGAGAGACGGTATCAGGGTGAGTGTGTGGAATGGAAGCACGTGCGTGTGACAATGTGTCGGGGGGTGTGTTTAGGTGTGCAAGGTTGTGAGTGGGAGTTTCTGTTAGCAGTGAGTGTGGAGGTGAGAGCATGTGTGTGTGAGAAGAGCATATATGGGAGTAGGTGTGAGTGTGAGCGTGCTGAGTATAATTGAGTGTGAGTAGGTTGGAATGTACGTGTGTATGTGTGAGAGAGCATGTATGAGTGTATGGGAGTGTGCGTTTGTGGGTGTGTCACAGTGAGCATGCAGGTGTGTGAGTATGAAGGTGTGTGAGTGTCGGGGTTTAAGGTATTTGAGTGCCCATGTGGACATGCGTGTGTATGGGTGTGTGTGAGAGAGCTTACATGTGTATATGGCTTCATGCGAATGTTAGTGTGTGAGTGTGTGTGAGTGGGACGATTTCATAGCGTGAGTGTGAGTGGTGTGTGAGCATGTATGAGTATTGGTTCATGAGAGAGAGTATGTGTGAGTGTGTGTGTGTGTGTGTGTGTGTGTGTGTGTGAGAGAGAGAGAGAGAGAGAGAGAAAATTCTTTAGGGTGGGCCTTGTCGCTCTCCTCTTGTCCTTATTCCCATCATCTCTGATTTGTACGGATGAGGATGTGAGGGGGCAGTGTACACAGTCTGGAAATGTACACAGTCCTGAGGAGAGAATTCACACATTTAGTCTCTGGCTGTTAGCGGATGAGCTTCTCCAGAAGGGATTCATTCAGGAGAAACCCCATCTCACTTCAGAAAGTGTTAGAGGTGCTTTTTTGTTAGGGGATGAAGAAGACAGGATTTCTCTCTCAGAGGAAAAGATGGAGTTGGAGCCTCCACCCACTGGAACAGACTCCATATCCTTCATGAAACGCCCAGCAGTGCTGTCACATTTCCCTCACATCTGGAGTCAGAATATATCTGAAAAGTGTTCTGACTAAAACTTGTGGATACCCAAGCTTGAACCCCATATATTTTCTGCCCCCATGAGGCTGAAAAGAGATTTAGACTTTCTAATCTGGAAAGCAAATTATTGCTGTATGCTGGAATCCCAACTGCTCGGGCTCTAAGCAGAAAACAAAATAATGAGAGGTTTTGCCCTCTAAGTATCCACCAGGGCCCTGTCCTCACGTCAGCTGCCAAAGGCTCATAATCCAACAGCTGCCAACCTGCTGACACTGAGATTGTGTGGTGCAGGCGGCCTGAGGCGCCGGCCTCTGGTTAATCAGAGGGGACCCTGGGTCATGGATCCCCCACAGAGCTTTAGCTAATGTTGCATTAGAGCAGTGGACTCTGCCCTTCTCTGCACAGGGACTTTCTGACTCCAGTAAAATGACATTTAAAAAAAAATCCACACAGAAAAGGACAGATTGGATAGCATTATCATTACCACGATTGTTGTAAAATTGCATTTGAATTCTGCACAGTGCCAAGGAGAACAGGCCCAGCCGCAGCTCTGTGATGAACGTAGCTGGTTTTATTAGGATTTCTCCAAGGACCACATATGGATAGGAGCATGATTAGGAACAGAAGAAGAGACAGAAATTAACTTACTCTCTGCATGTAAATTGCAAAGGGCTCCCTAAAATTATAGAGCCCAGTTAAATATACCGACTCTTGGAAATGATATTTGCATACTTTTCTCATCCTCTTATAAACCACCCATGTTGATTTACCCAGCTTTCTTTTTCCCTTGTTCTTTTATTGTGATTTGTGTGGAAGTTTAGAGAGTAAATTGGTTTTGCATTCAACCCTTCATACACATATTATTTTGTAACACTAATTGTGATACCCACAATGTAACTGTACTTTTCCCACTTCCTCACTAGAATTCTCATTACCATTAATCCTTCTGTACTACCCCTCTATACCTTATGGGCTTTATCCTTGGGCAAGTGCTACTCTTTGGATGGAAGATGGATATTTACTGTAAGGAGTGATGTTACTAGGTGTTACTCCCTGATACTACTGGTCATTTTCTAGGCCTGGAACCTCTGAGATTATGGCCCTTAGTCTCCCTTCGAAACAGAAATGGAACTCACCTCTGTAAGCTCAAGCTTTACCCTATTTTATTGTATCAAACAAAAGGCAGAAAGATCCATGCAGGAGATGGTGGATAAGGGGCGGGTGGAGGCAAAAAAGGAGTCCCTGAAGCCTCTGGCTCTGCTGAGTCAAAAATGGTGCCCATGACTCAGGCAGTCTCACAGACCAGTTAAGTGCTTCTCTCTGAGGCTCAGAACCCCACATCAGCCCCAGACAGAGCCTTCACTGGACTTGAGAACCAGTAGATAAACCTTTACTAATGAATATCTAGCAAAGAAAGGGGACCCTTCAGCTGTTCCTCTGAATTATGTACCTTTAGGGGATTAAGACGCCATTCTCCAATTGTATTTGACTGCTTCTGTACATACCTGCAGCCTCCATGGGCTCCCTGCCCGTGGGCTGGGAGATTGGATTCTGAAAGCCTGTTTTGAGAGAGCTGTCGTGTTGCTATCCCATCATGCTCAGTGGCCGGCTTAGGTGCTGGTGACCATGTATGTGCCAAAGGGGATCCACAGACTGCTTCTGGAAAAACCAAAACAACTAAAAACTGCCTCTGGAAATAAACACAAAACTTCCTGTCAGTTCCAGGGCGATTAACCCTACCTCACCTACACAGCTTCGTGCAGCTCCTTTCTAGCTTATAGTTGGGAGTGAGGGCCTTGAAAGGTAAATCTACCTGCCTAAATCATCCTTCCTACTAGGTATGCTCCAGTGTTCTCCTAGGAGGCACCTGGGGAAGGTGTACACGAATGAGTGTGTGGGTTTCTGTGACTCAGACAGCATCATTCGTCACATAAAGAAAGAAAAGGAAGTTGCTTGTCCACAGCAGTTGCACTGTATAAGGTTTCCAGGGACCCAGGCCCCCGGGGAAGGGAGGGAATGGTCAGAGCACTGAAGAGTTCGAGAATCAGCTCTGCACTCTGCAGACCCAGTTGGGCAACAGTGTCACATCTTTGAAACACCTTATGAGTGGGATAGCGTGCTAAATAGAGCCATGCAGATACCTAGTGAGAAAGGCAAGGCCGTGAAGCCTCATGGTAGCAGGAAGCCACCTTCAGGGCCAGGACTCTACTTGTAGCTCGCCTCTGGCATATCCCTGCACCATGATTCCGCCGTTTCTCCTCGTCCTTCACCTCTAGTGTTTCCCATCCATTTCTACCTTTTCTTTTTGAAAATGTGCTCCTTTTATTTATCCTCTTGCTTCTGTTCCTCTTTCCTTCATCCTCTTCCTCTCTGTCCCTCCTCCCATTATCTTTTTGCCTTCGAATCCTTACATCTCTTTATCTGCTGCCTTCCTCCTTTTGGTCCTCTGTCCCTCCCCTCTTTCTCTTTCTTTTGCCCCCTCCCCACCTACATTCTCTGCTCCTCTCAACAGAGGCTTCTTTTGGGGACACCAGGAAGGAACAGACCTCACATGTGCCCTCAAGGCTGGGGTCAGGGGTCAGATTTCCCTGCGGGAGGAAGGCAGGCAGGTCTGGCAGCTGCCTAGCTCCCACAGCCTAGGCCCTGCTTAGCCTCACAGCCTGGCTGGTGTGAGACACCGAACCAAATGTCCCAACAGTAAAATGGATTCACGTCTGGTTGTGACAATTTGTACCTGTACTTAGAAACCAGGCAAGAGAGTAGAGAACAGGTTAGTGGGCTTGGACTGTAGTCAGCAAATCAGAAAATAAATCAAGCAGTTCTTATAAATCACCTCTATAGTGTTAACGCCACACAAACCCCTGGTTATACACGCCTTTTATTCCTTCCCATCTCTTCCTCCTCCATCATTTTCTAATGTTATTATGATAGAAAATCAATTCATCCTAAAATAGTAAGCTTTAGACCTTGAGAATATTAAGCAAAATGGGTGGGAGTATCTGTAACAGCATCAGAAGTGAAAATACACAGACCATAAGTCCTTGGAACAAAGAGCTTCTGGGGAAGGAGGTTTATGATAAGCTCCCTACACACATCGTTTCTAGAGCATTGAACATTGGTGTGTGGAATATGAGGCTTCATAATCATGCATCCTGTCTAACTTGTATTATAATACCACACAGAACAATGTTAACTATACCCGCTTTGTCTTGACAATGTCCCTCCCTGAGAAAAGGAACTCCATGCTGTGGAAACACGTGTAGTTTGGTGGGAGAAACGCTGGCCCAGTTCTAGTGGCTCTTGCCCACAAGCTGGACAAATGTCTTCCCTTTTCAAAATGAAGGCTCCAAGAGAGCCCTTGAATCTCACAGGTCGTCAAAGGCATGGGTGCATCCCTGTCCAAGCTGGGCTCTGGGCCTAGAGCTTTGTTAACTTGATGACTTCCAGGGCTCTTTCAGTTCTCAAGACCAATAAATTATGGGTAGGGAGGTAAAGGGTATATTCTGAAGACAAAGTAAGAGCTGACAAATTATTTATAAGGAAAAGAAGAAACAGAATTAGAAATAAGTGATGATATTTGTAAAATAAAAAGTCTTTGACCATAGCGTGGAAAGGAGGACAAATTGGATTAAGATGAAGACAAACTCAAAAGAGTGAAGATCATCAAGAGAACAAATAGTTCTGTTTTTAAGAGGGTGAAA